GGCCGCGGGCGCGGCGGCGGGCCCAGCGTCGCCGCTGCCGGCGCTGGAGCTGCCGCCGCTCGCGCTCGGCGGCGCGGGGCCGGCGAGCGCGAGCGCCAGCGAGGACGGCGGCGGGGGGGCGGGCGTGGAGGGCGGCGGCGCTGGGGAGACCTATCAGTACACCTCCTCGCGGGTGAGCGTTTCTTTGCATTCCTTTGGCGCGGCACAGCTCTCTGTCCGCCTGCACTAAGATTGGGCCTGCCGAGTGGCGCGCGGCCGCGGCGCTCTGTGGCGGGTGCGGCGGAGATTTGTGTTGTGGCGTCCGCTGGGCCTTGTCAGGGGTCATGGTTTATACTAAGTCGACAAGCTGCGGGCACACTTTGTTGTCAAATATCAGACTCACCAACGCACTCCTTACCCCCCCCCCCTCTCTCTCTCTCTCACACACACACACACACACACACACACACACACACACACACACACTTCTGAGCCTCTCTCTCTCTCTCTCTCCGTGTGTCTCACTCTCTCCCCCTCACATGTATACACACTCACGCACTCACGCGCACGCACCCACACACGCGCGCACCCCCAGGCCAAGGTGGTGTACGCCTTTGAAGCTGAGGCCGAGGGCGAGCTGACCGTGACGGCGGGCGACGCCGTGTGGGTGGAGGCGGAGACCGACGGCTGGTTCACGGTGGTGCGGGAGGCGGACGGCGCGCGGGGCCTGGTGCCCGCCTCGTACGTCGAAATGGAGGGCTTCACGTGATCTTCGTTGATTCGTGATCTAAGATGGGGCGCGACACTCGTTTTCGCGGCCGAGCGGCGGTTTCTACGCCGGCGGGCGGGTTGCTGCGCGGATATCTGGGCAGCGGCGGCGCGATCGCGCGGCCGCATGTCCGACGCGTTATGCGAGGCCTTGCATCCTGGCATCCCAGCAGCTATGTGTGCGCGCATCATGGCCGGTTTGTGACCTCTCTCTTCCTGTTCGCGCTGTTCGTAAGCCCCTGCCCTCTGTAACCGCAAGCTCTTCTGGCTGGTCATGGCTGCTCTTGATTGTAAGCTTTTGATTGGACTCAGGCCGGGTCACGTGTGCCCCGCTGCCAACCCTTCGCGCGCGCCCAAACACAAAATCGCCCGCTGCTACGAACGTTTTACAGTGCCGCCGGCCCTGCACGCAGGCAGGCTCCGGACACTAGCGCTAACCCCCTAACGACGGCCCCGCGCGCCGCGCGGGCCAAAGCAGCGGGCAGCACAGCTCCGCCCGCTCCCGCAAGCCCCGCGCGCCGCCGTGCGGCCGGCCCCCCCACCCTCTGCGCCGTCATCACTCCTTGCTGGTGACGACGAGCAGCCCCAGCACGGCTATGAGCGCGACCTTGAGCCAGGGGTAGTCGTTCATTAGGATGGTCACCATGCCCACGTGGGGCAGGAAGCCGACCGCGCGGCCCACGATGTGGTGCATGTGCAGCCACTCCTGGCCGCGGTTGTACAGCAGGCGGTCGTCCATGTGGTTGTTGTCCCCCTGCGGGGCGGTTTTGAGGATTGCCGTACATGCATTGAGAAACTCTGAGTGTCGCACAGGAAGTACAGGTGTGAGTGGGGAATGGGGGCGGCGGGTGCGAGCCGCCGGGGGTGTGGGCGTGGGGAGGAGCTGGGCGGCTTGGTCTTGGACGGGGAACACCAGCGTTGTTGGCGCAAACGCCGGCTGCTCATGCTTCAGACCCAGCCCAAGCATGCGCGTGTGTCGCCCCACTCAGGCTGTTGCGCCACCTCACCGGGTCCCTCCCATGTCCCTGCTCTTTGCTGCCCCGCTCCGATACCTCCACCCGACCCGCGCGCTGACCCCGCGCCCCACCCGCCACGCCCTTCAGCCGCGTTGCGTCCCGCCCCCTGCTCAAACCCACCCATCCCGCGCCCCGCCTGTCACTCCCTAAGCATCCCGCCTGCATCGACGCCAGGGACGGCCGCTGACTAAACCCTGCCCCCTCCAGCCGCCATGCACCCGCGATTGACCTGCCATGCCCCCGCCATGCCCAAACACGCTCAAGCTGTGCATGAATGCCATGCGTCCGCCATGCACAAATGCCATGCGCCTGCCATGCATAAACACCATGCGCCCGCCATGCACCCGCCTTTGTGAGGATGTCCAAGTGGTCCTCCGCCGCGCGCTCGTGCACCTTGATCACCCGGTGCACGATCGGGATATCGCGCCCGTCGAGGTTGAAAACCACGATCTCGCCCGTCCGCGCCGGCGCCTTGCCGAGGTTTAGGAATAGGATGTCGCCGCGGTGGAAGCCGGGCTCCATGCTGCCGCTGAGGACCACCACGACCTTTGTGTGTGTGTGTGTGTGTGTGTGTGTGTGTGTGTGTGTGTGTGTGCGCGTGCGTGCGCACCAGGGGGTAAGGTGATGTGTGTGGGTGGGGGTGTTTATATGTGCATGTGCGTGTGCAATAGAGGGAGAGAATGTGTGGATGCGTTTGTAGTGATGAGTTTTGAGCACGCTGCAAGTGGACAGGGCAGCAGCGGGCGCAGCAGGCACGAGGTGCCCCCGGCTGCTGGGCACGTTGGGGCGTGGCGGCGTTGGCTGGGGGCTGAGGTCAACGCAGGCCAAGACGGCGCACCGGCGACTCGCTGCCGGTGACCAGCATGAGGGTCTTCCATATGATGAGCGCCGATGTGACCACCAGCCCTGCAGGCCAGGGGCCGGTTTGCAATGGGCCACCGACCGGGTACCGACGCGCCCGCCTGCAGCTGGCACAACGCCTTGCACCTGCCTCGTCCCCGTAGATCGACCTGCTTTGGTAGCAACAATCATTGCTTTCACAGCAACACGGGCGCACCTAAATTTACAACTTGTGAAGCCAGCTGCCGTTTGTTCATTTCCCGGATCGTGGTGATCACTCCCTGCACCTCATTTTTGATATACTGCATCTTAAAAGGAGATCAGTGCCGCTGCCCCGCACGTCTGTGATCTGATTGTCACCGTGCCTAGTATAAGCAGTTGGTGCAGAATATTGCACGTGAAGCCAATGTGCTCTTGCAGTTATGTGTCGCTCTTGAGCCGCAACGAACTCTGTGTCTTGATCGGGCGACGCGTCTTTGGTCGACTTTCATGATTTCAGAGGAAGGGACGATAGCCAGCACACGTCTGCACCTGGCCGTGTATTATAAACAGGTTGTCTAGCTGTGGGTTACATCCTCTTCGTGTATCACATCCAATAGCACATGCGCGGCGGAAGGCGCCCGCGTTCGTCATCGAGGCGCCGACAGACGCGCCAACACAACCGCCAATGCAGCGCCCCGATACAATGCAGGACCGCCTCGCCCAGCTTGCAGGCAGAGCGAAGGACTTGATGCGAACCAGCAGCGCTGCGGCAACCGCCAGTAGCGCCGCTGCCACTGCCAGCAGCCTGCTCTCCGCCGCCCTGCAGCACGCGCCGACGGTCGGCTCGCCGCCGCGCGCCGCGCCGGGC